TGAGAGGCCTCTTACTTAATTGGCCTCTCAGAGTTGGTAAGACAACTCCCACCTTTTCATGCTCTCTGTATATATATCTCCTCAATATATGTTCCATTCTATGCATCCGAAGAAGTGGGTGCCACAAGTACTCAAGTCCCAGCCTGTTATGTACCATTGGCTGCTGGGTGCACAATGGTGAATCACCTGCTGCTGGAAGTGAGGGTTGGTCACCTAATCCGCTTGTTACCTGGAAACCAAAAGTGTTCACAGACCTGCCTAAAATGGAAAATTTACAAAGCCCAACACTTCCCCTTTTGTTTACTCCTCCTGCCCTTTCCCCTCCTGCTCCCCCCCTTCAATTGACACCAAAGACTGTTATTAAACAAACACGCACACACCTAGGAAAATAACATGCATCCACATTGAAGGGAATCCCAACACGACTCTAACGCCTCCTAGTCCACCCTGGCAGGCCCATGCCTCAGTTTATGATTATATCTGATGCTATTTTACAAGATTGCAGAGCTGGGGGCAAGGGCAGCACAACAGCTGTGACTGGCCAGCAGTGCGGAGGTGTCACAGGCTGTCCTGAGAAACCCTCGGCCCCTAAAAGCCAGAGACTCAACATCGCTCACAGTCACCGCCCCAACCTGGCAGGTGGGGAGGGGTCGCCCTGTGGGGAGGGCAGCGAGGGCCTGAAGGGGAATAGCGGAGGGGAGCTCCCAGCCCAGCCCAGGGCGGCAGCGGTTGCGGAGGAGACGGTGACTGATGATTCAGCCCCGCCCTCTAACTGCCACAGGCCGGGGAAGGTGGGGGCGGGGAGCTCGAGATTTACCATTGAAGCCCAATAACGTCCCGGCTGCTGGCTGAGGCTCTCGGGAGCTGTAGTTCGAACGCCGAAGCCTCCCTCGCCGCCCGGAGAGGAAGTCGTCGAGTTGGGACTATAACTCCCACAATGCCCCGGGCCCGGCATTGTCCAGCCTGTGGCGCTGGGAGGCGGCACGATGGCGGCAGGTTTGTATCGGGAGCTGGCGGGGGGCGCTGAGCCGAGGAGCTGCGGGCGCGTTGGACATGAGGAAGCCGGGCGTAGGCCGCACTCGGCTCAGCGGGTGCCTGGCTGGGGGTTGTGTGGAGTAACTGCCTCGGCGCGCAGGGCTCCGGGTGAGGTGTTGGGCGGGGGCAGCAGCTGTTGCGGTCCCCTCCTGGGAGGGGCTGCTTTCGCGCCCCCTACCCGCAGGTGTCGGAGGGAGGGGCGAGGTTCCTGGCGGGGGAGGCTGTTGTGCCCACCCCAGTATTCACGGGGGTAGGGTGACCAGACAGTAAGTGTGAAAAATCAGGACGGGGGTGGGGGGTAATAGGAGCCTATATAAAAAAAAGCCCCAAATATCGGGACTGTCCCTATAAAATCGGGACATCTGGTCACCCTACACGGGGGTGATGCTGAAGTACGCACACCACTGGGTCCCGGGCCCCGGGGCGGGGTGTCCCTCGCTTGTAACAGTCGAGACATGGGCGGGTGTTGGGCAGAGGGACTGTGGTGAGTCCCTCGCACCCAGTGGTTGTGTCAGGGCCCGTGTCCCCGGGGGATGCTGCAGGTGATGAGGGCGAATGCCGCTGTAGCTTGAATCAGAGGAGTAGCCGTGTTAGTCTGAATCTGTAAAAAGCAACAGAGGGTCCTGTGGCACCTTTAAGACTAACAGAAGTATTGGGAGCATAAGCTTTCGTGGGTAAGAACCTCACTTCTTCAGATGCAAGTAATGGAAATCTCCAGATCTGTAGCTTGAGTGTATGAGGGGAGGGTTGCCAGGCTTGTTGCCCACCCGCTTCAAATCTGTGGTGTGATGTCCCACCTGCCAAGTCCTGTTTGTCAAGAGGGAGACTGTCTCCTTTGTATGTTCATCTAAAGACCGCTTTTAAAAGCATCGACTTCTCATGGAAAAATGACTTTTGCTTTGTAGAACTATTGGAAAACTCCCTGGCTGGAATTGTCCTGGTGTGACGTGTGTAGTCTGGGGAACCCTGTCGCCCCCTGTGGTTGCCCGAGTGGGAACTTGCCCGTCCCTGTCTTGCCCCGTTGTTGTAACAGTTTGCAATTCAATTGCAATTCAGAAGCTGCAACAGGGTGTAGGCTTAAGAATATGTTGTACCTTGAACAAGAGTAGACACAAACTAGGACCCAAATGAAGTGTTTCAAAGTGCTCAAAAAATGAGCAAGATTTTAAGTGTTTTACTTTCAGTGAAACAGTAAAATTCACCATATCTAGATAGAGAGACTTTAAACACTGCCTTAAAATGAATGCCAAATAGGTCGTCTTGGCAGCTCCTCAATGATTTTTTTTCTCTTCCCACTCTTGGGGGCCCTATTTAAAAATCTCAGAGCTCCATCACTCTAAATATGTTACTTGATTCACTGCTTATATATGCTGTATCTTTTGGCATATTTGGAATGTTATTCGTTTACTTGATTGCAATTGATACTAAATTTAAAAGCTTCATTGGTTGTTTTGCTTTATATAATGTGTATTCCTCAGCAAGTGGATGTTTAAGTGGATTCTATTGTACTAGGAACAATACACAAGGATTTAGTTTTATAAATATGTTGAGTGGATTGTAAGCAATTTTATGTATTATTTGTAGGTACATTTAACAGCTTTTTTGATTCTTTTCATGTGTAACTTTCAATACCTGGAAATATTTTTTTTAAAGTTGATAACCAAACCTAAAAGATGTTACTTTGCCAGTTGTACTGCTGCTTGCATAACAGATTAAATTGAAATACGTTTTTCCAGATGGGCACTGCTGCAGATTTAAATAGTGAACAAAATGTTATCATACACTGGATGTCCAATGCTTCCTGTTCCGGAGATATACTAAATCCTAGTTTCCATATTTGGAAAACCAATAGAGATGGACAGTCATCTGGAACTGTAAACATAAGTCACCCAGTTAAAATGCTGCATGTTTCAAACAGCAGTTCTATAAGTGAAGACTCCATGCATGAAGAACAAATCTTGGAGTCTGGCTGCCCTTGTGGACTTCAGTTAAATACAACTGAAACAACTTTTCCAGTTGCAGCATTTCATTTGGTCAAGAAAAAACCCATGTTAACACTTAAAGATGCTCCTGCTCTGTGGAAAGCCCCTAAAACTGACTCTGTATGTGATGAGGGGGATGATCAGAATGAAGCAGATTACAGCGATCCACTTCTACAAAAGCTTGAACAGGTAAAAAAAAACATTTTTTTCCCCTTGACATGACTTCATTAGGATTTCTTGTAATAGTCTATAATTACATCTTCTGTTAACTGCAAGGGTGGGTAGGTCTATACTTACCTCCGGGTCCGGTGGTAAGCAATTGATCTTCTGGGATCGAAGATGCGATAAATCGATCCCGGAAGTGCTCGCCGTCGACGCCGGTACTCCAGCTCGGCAAGAGGAGTATGCGGCATCGACGGGGGAGCCTGCCTGCCGCGTCTGGACCCGCAGTAAGTTCGAACTAAGGTACTTCAAATTCAGCTACGTTATTAATGTAGCTGAATTTGCGTACCTTAGTTCGAAGTGGGGGGGTTAGTGTGGACCAGGCCAGTGACTGCAGCTACCTAAACATGGCAAGAGGTATTGCTTGCTTTCAGAACAATGCTAGTTTAAAGAGTGAATTCCAAATCACAATAGATCATTAATCTAGCTCTCTCTTCTTCATTATACTCAATATTGAGGGCCAAACCACTTTTTTTTTATAAATATGGAGATATATCTATCTCATAGAAAAGGAAGTGAGCCTGAAGGGTCATCGAGTCCAGCCCCCTGCCTTCACTAGCAGGACTAAGTACTATTTTTGCCCCAGATCTCTAAGTGGCCCCCTCAAGGATCGAACTCACAACCCTGGGTTTAGCAGGCCAATCCTCAAACCACTGAGCTATCCCTCCCCCAACTCTGAAAGTGAATTGCTTTAAGTGAAAGCGTATTTATTCCTTCAGCTACTTTAGAATGTTCCATCATTTGTCCCACTGAAGTTGAGAGAAAACAATGCAGTTTTAAAAACCTGTAATACTAAAATGTTATGCTAAAGTGTGATTGGAAATCCGAAAGATAGAGACAGTGAAGGTTTTCATTTTTTTGTTATTGATTTCTTCTATAGCAAAATATTCTGTTAGTCCTTAGAAAATGTATATACCAATATATTTGGCTTTAAAATCTCTCTCCATCTGAGTAGTTTTGCATCTGGCGAGGAAGAAGCCAAACCAATACCCTGGTCCTGAAATGACATACTCTGCCGCTGTGTGGGCATAGGGCTGCACTCATGTAGATGCCATGGCAGGATCAGGGACCTTAGGATCGAGTCATACAGCTGATTACATCACCTACATGTGATCACTTACTGGGTGCACAGCTTTGTTTGGACATGCACTAACAGCTTATTTTTTAAGTTGTCAAAGTTAGATGACGGAAAAGATTATAAAACCAGATGTGGATAATCCAGATAAAATTTGTGAACAGAAGATGAATCTTTTGAGTCTGGAGTAGACTTCATGTTTTCAAAGTGCTGTTAAATTTTTTTTTATGTACAATACTTCTTCACTAAAGATGAATGTGGAATAAAGGGATATGCAGCTTTTGGAAGCTATTTGAGTTGCTATTTGATTATAATTTTTGTTTAATTTGGGTTAGGTACATAAAATATTGGAGTCAGATTATTATGAAAACAAAGCCCTCTTTGATAACATTGAAAATAAAATGACACTCCAGATCAAAATGTCACAACTCACCCCCAAAACTGTATTTTTTTCAAAAGTATTTTACATATGAATAAGTAAATGAATACATCACCAATATGGAATAATGGTGAGGTGCAAAGACGATATGTAATTTTGATATTTAAAGAGGAATTGTTGATGGTTTAAAGAGCACCTTATGCCTCTTTAAAAGCATTGATGTTCTATTTAGGGCATGGCTACACTTGCAGTTGTAGAGCGTTGGGAGTTAAACCAGCCTTCGGAGACTGCAGCAGGGAAAACGCTGCCGAGTGTTTACGGTCTCAGCTGGAAGCACATTGGCGTGGCCACATTAGCAGCTCTTGCAATGCCACAAAGAGCAGTGCATTGTGATAGCTATCCAAGCATGCAAGTGGCTGCAACATGCTTTTCAAATGTGGGGGTGGGGTGAAGTGTGACAGGGAGTGTGTTGTGTGTATGTGGAGGGAGAGAGAGTGGGTTTTTGGGGGGCTGAGAGTGTGTCAGCATGCTGTATTGTAAGTTCAGACAGCAGCAGACCTTCTGCTCTCCCCCCGTCTCTCTCTCACTCACTCAAAGCAAGCAGTATTCCTTTGTCCTGGAGCAGATAAGCAGCCAGCTGTCAGAAACGGAGCTTTGAAAGGGCATATCCGCATTCCTACAGCAAGTTCAAAATAATGACAAGAGTGGCCACTTGACTTACGGGGATTATGGGATGTTTTCAGAGGTCAATCAGAGCGCAGTAATGCAACATCTCATTCACACTGGTGCCGCGGCGCTCCAGCAGGGACGCAGCAAACGTTATTCCACTCGCCGAGGTGGAGTACCAGCAGCATTGTAGTTGCGGAGTCAGAGCGCTCTACGTGCCTTGCCAGAGTGGACGGGTAGTGAGCTAGTGCGCCTGGGGCTCCTTTATTGCGCTGTAACTCGCAAGTGTAGCCAAGCCCTTAGAAACCATTCTGACTGCACGTGGGCATGAGTTGTGATATGTTTTGGAGGTGGTTACTTTCCTGTTTATTTAACGAAGACACCAGCATGAGAATAGAACACTTTGTGAGGAAGTACAACTTAGTGGTAAGAATACAAGAGTTGGAGTCAGAACCTGGAATCTGTTCTCAACTTGACCACTAACTGTGTGTGTGTGTGATTTGTCACCTCTATTCATGTTTGAGTAGTATTTTACTTTTACAAGTAATCTTTGTTTTCAATGGGATTGCCTGTGGAATACGACACTATTATGTAAGGGTGGCAATTAGGGGTCCATGGTTAAGTCACTTAGTACCTCTGTACTTTAATCAGTATAAAACTTCCTTGCCTCACTGGGGCATTATGACTCTAAATGTTCTTTAGTGCTTCTTGTTTTTCATTTGCTCTGTTGCATCAAAGCCTTTTCTGCTGTAACTAACTGAGATGTCACCTGTTATATTATGACTTCAAATAAGAAATGAGCAACAGGATGAATTCCTATGATAAGGATTTTATTTTCATTAGATATTTCAAATCTTAATAAAAAGATACTAGTACAAACATAAATATTAGTCAAATATTGATATCTTTCAAAAAAATTTCTCAAAGTCTTCAAGGTGGGGTTTTCTATATAATTTACAAGTTGGTCCATTTAAAGGCTAGTGGAACTATTAAAGAATTGGTCACTGGAGGAAATACCTTCAGTATAATTTGTTTAAAAATATACTATTAGTGAGTGTAGGGCTTAGTTTTAACATAGCTTGTTTACATCCTGTTCAAATGCCACTTGTTATAATAAAGCATCTTCATGCAAGAAATATAAAAAGCGTTTCATGCTAGTTATTCTCAAATTCTAAGAAAACTATTGACTTCAAACACATTTGGTTTTTATGCTTGATAAAGCTAAAAGCAATACAGCAGCAGAAACAAGAACAGTTGAAGAAGCAACAGATGGAACAACTTCAAAGGCTTATGGAAGAGCAAAAGAAACTACTTATCATGGTATCTGGCCATCAAGGACTCCCTGGTAAGTGGAGAAGTAAAGCATACAGTATACCTTAAGGAAATGGAACACTTTAATTTTAATATTCAATTTAAAATGTTGAGTACTGTTTCACACAATATCACAAAACTACTAGATTAGTCCCAGGTAAACACTGCATTATTTAAAATAATATTTTAAAAACTACTAATCAACATTCATATTACGGTAGCATCCAAACACCTCAACCAGGACTGGGTTCTTGTTGTGTTTGGTGCTCTACAAACATGTAGCATGATAGGGCCCTTGCCTTGGAGAACTTAGTCTAAATAGAAAAGACAGAAAAATAGTGATAAAAACAAAATTTAAAAAAGTGAATCTTAAACTCCCCCCCCCCCCCCAACATATCCCTTTCCCTTCTCTCTGTTCAGCTATCTCAGAAAACCTCCTTCATCACTGTTGACCCAAAGTGCCTTTTTTTACTCTTCCCCACCCCACAGAAATAACCTTAGGCTTCATCTGGAGGGGAAGAAAAAAACCTTTAGCTACAGACTGGCCAGATGTGTGTAAAAGCACCTGTTCCTGCCAGGAACTCTAGGGAGAGGGGTCCATTTGACCAATCCAATTCTGGAGCTGCTGTCTCCTCCTCGCAGAGACAACAGTATTGTAATGGAAATACAAAGCATAATGCATTTTTTCCTCCCCCTTCAAGACTATGCTCAAAAGTCAGGAGATCGGAGTCAACGATATGGACATCCAGCTAGTTCAAACACTGTGCCTTACTTGCCACCACCTGTGTACTAGAATCTCAGTGGAGATAGTGCTCAGATCCTGGATGATTTTTCTTTTTGTTTCTTCACGTACACGAGTAAATTACTACAAAAATTAAACAAGGAATGCATCTTATCTTTAAAGAGCAGTTTATCTTCAGATTCTATCAGTGAGAAACAGTGTCTAGATCAGCGGGTCGCGAGCCCGTTTTAATGGGGACTGGCTTAGACTTGCTTGTGCTAGGGGCCCGAAGCCAAAACCCCAGTATCTGGGGCCAAAGCCCGAGGACAGGCAAGGGCTTTGGCTTTGCCCCACTCCTGGGGCAGTGGGACTTTGGCCCCCCCGGTCCCACCTCCTGAGGTCAAGTAGTAATTTTTTGTCAGAAGGGGGTAGCGGTGCAATGAGAGCCCCTGGTCTAGATGCATCTCTGAAAATGCAAAACGATTTGAAGAATGAGGACCACAAAAATACTACTGGTTAAATTTATTGAAAGAATTTTCTAGATGAGCTGGAGTCTTTTCATAGTTATTGATCTTAGTATCTTCCTAGGCTACAGTAAGCATTTAATTTTCTGTTAACTATTGGTTCACTTGATGGTAATTAAATCCTAGTTACCTGTCACTAGGCTATATATTTGTCAGCCAATGGGCCTAATTCTACCCCTATTGAAGTCCAACGGGAGTTTTGCCATTCACTTCAATGTCAGCAAGATCAGGCCCTTTATATCTTGTGGCCTCATGCTTTTTAACCTTTTTGTCAATGAGCTGGAAGAAAACATGAAATTATTACAGATAAAGTTTGCAGATGACACAAAATTGGGGGAATGGTAAATAATGAAGAGGACAGGTCCCTGATACACAGTGCTTAGATCACTTGACAAGTTGCATGCAGGCACACAGTATGCATTTCAGTACAGTCAAATATAAAGTCATACATCTGGGAACAAAGTATGTAGGTTGTACTTGCAGGATGGGGGACTCTATCCTGGAAAGAACTGATTCTGCTATTGGAGTATTAGGATCACAGTGGGTAATCAACCGAACATGAGCTTCTAGCATGATGCTGTGGTCAAGAGTTAATTTGAGCCTTGGAAGTATAAATAGGAACATTGAGTAGTAGTATTATATTACTTCTGTATATGGCAGTGGTGCGACCACTCTTGGAATTCTGTGTCTAGGTCTGGTGCCAACAAGTCAAGAAGGAGGTTGAAAAATTGGAGGGGGTTCACAAAAGAGACAGAATGATTAAGAGATTGGAAAACATGCCTTATAGTGATAGTCTCAAGTAGATCAATCTATTTAGTTTATCAAAGAGGAAGTTAAGGGGTGACTTGATCATAGTCTAGAAGTGGAGAATAAGAATTTGATAATACATGTTTTTTCAACCTAGTAGACAAAGGTATACCAGAATCCAATGGCTAGAAGTTGAAGCTAGGCATATTCAGAATGGAAACAAGGTGCAGATTTTTAAATGACTGTAAGTATCCATTGGAACAACTATCAAGAGTTGTGGTGGATTCTCCAACGCTGGAAATTTTTAATTCAAGATTGGATGTTCTAAAAGATACTCTAGTTCAAACAGGAATTAATTGAGGGAAGTCTCACGGCTTTGTATTACCCAGGTCAGACTAAATAACAATAGTCCCTTTTGACTTTGTAATCTGTGAATTGCCTCTGAATGTTGTTCCTGGTTTTTAAAATACAAGCTGAAAACTGATTCCACAGTAGAAAAAGACTCCTATCCATCATTTCATAGGAGAAAGCACTTGGTGTCCAAAACAAAAGATGGAAAAGTCTGTTGGAGGTGAAGACAGTGACGCTGATCATTTATGTTCAAGAAATGTAGATTTGTCTGAAAGTCCCAATGGAAGAAAATGCTTACAAGCAGCTAACATAGAGGAAAGGTAAATGTAAGCTTATAAGTAATAGTTTTATCCAATCTTTTTTGACCAAGTTCTAAGACCTGATTGAAAGTGGTTGGGGCTTCTAGATAGTACTCAAACACAAATATTAAATTTTAAACCAAGTGGGCCCCCATTGTTATTGGCATTATACAGAGATATGGTAAAAGAAGTCCCTGCCCCTAAAGTCTTATGGTGTGGCATAACAGGTGGATGAAATAAATGAGTGTAGGGATAAGGTAATGGTAAACCAAAATCATGTTTTGGCATAGCTTTACTGTGTGCACAACTATAATTGTAATGAGTCAATCCAGTAGCAGTAATCACAACTTTCTTTGGCATAGCTATTATCAGATGGCCTTTTTCTGTAAGCATCATGGCAGAGGTGAGTCTGAAGGAGAGATGTGGAAGAGGATAAGGTGATGGCTTTATACCTCTTGATAGGGAGTCTCTCTTGTGTGTGGGGGCAGGGGAGGGGGTGTAAAATGGACTAATGGGTGGTAAAGACTGGCATTACTGATGAAGCGAAACCAAAATGAACATAGGGTTAAATAGAACAGGGCTAAGTTGTGCATGTCCTTGAAAGCATGGACAGGAAGTCTGTGTTTGATGAAGTGAAAGAGGAGGGGTGATCTAGTCAGAGTGACAGGCTACGAAGATGACCTTAACAATAGCATTTTGAATGCCCTCAGTGCAAAATTGGAGAAATCAAGACACAAGGAGTATGTCTGCACTGCAATAAAACACCTGCAGTTGGCCTATGTCAGTTGACTGTAGCTTGCGGGGCTATAAAATTACAGTGTAGATGTCTGGGCTCAGGTTGTCACCGAGGATCTGGGACCCCTCCTCACTCTTGGACATCTACACTGCAATTTTATAGCCCTGCGGCCTGAGCCCCATGAGCTCGAGTCAGCTGACATGGGCCAGTCATGGGTGTTTTAGCAGTGTAGACATTTGGAACATGACCAGGGCCTGGATAAGAGTTTGGCATAATGGAAGGATAAGATCTTTGACATCCAGTGTAAGAAGCAGCAGCAAGATTTAGATGTGCTGTGACTAAGGTCCTAGTGGGGAGCCAGCTGTGGTCACTCAATTAGGGTGAACTGCAAAAAAATGGTGCAGACAGTCCCCATAAAGCTGGTGGATATTCCAATACCTAGATTTACCAAGCCAGCATAAAACAGCTTCTTTATTACCTCACTGGTTACTCAGAAGGCCAAACAACACAATTCCCTTACAGTGATCCAGCCTCAGGCTTCCATCCAGGTACCCATGTCAAATATGATGATGATTTCTGTACGTCTTATTTCATTATATAAAAGAAAAAGTTCTACCAATCCCAAAGGATTGGACACATTACCTCCCAGGTTAATGAATGTTTCAGATCTTACCCAAATACATGCTACAGCCAATTCTTATTAACTAAACTAAAATTTATTAAAAAACGAGAGAGTATGGTTAAAATATCAATATACATACAGACATGAGTTCAATTCATTGGGGTTCAGATTCACAGCAGAGATGGTGAGCTTTGTAGTTGCAATGAGTTCCTTTAGAATTCAGTTCATAGGTCACAGTCCAATGTCCAAATCTCATATCCAGGGCGTACCAGCATAACTGGGACCTCTGTCTTGCAACTCAAACTTCCCCTGATGAGATCTAAGCAGATCTGAGATGACCGAATCAGGACCCAAGGATCTTTTATACAATTTTACGTCTTTTGACAAGTTGGAATTCCTCAGGGAACAAAAGGTAATTAGGATGACTTTGAAGGAGGTCCATCACTGGTACTTAGCTATACGAATTAACATAAGGGTTTGCTTGTTCCTCCACCATTCACAGTACATTTCAAAGAAAGATGAATACTGAGAGATCCCATGTTTGCAATTCATTTACATGATAGGCTGTTCTTTTGACCTCTGAATTATCAGAATACAGCATAGACAGGGACTGTTGAATATATTGTCCACCCTACTCATACATAAATATTATTTTCCCACATGTCTTCTGTGGGTTATTTATTTTGCAGGATGTTTAACCCTTTCTAGCCATGCGTCACTCATGCCTTTCATGGTTACTTAAAACAAATGTGATAAAGTACAGTAGAACCTCAAAGATATGAACACCAGAGTTACGGACTGATCCGTCAACCGAACATCACGTGAAACCAGAAGTAACCAATTAGGCAGCAGCAGAGACAAAAAAAAAAGCAAATACTGTACTGTGCATTGCATCTTAAAGGTAGGGACATCTGGGCTGCCTGTCCCCACCCCTACCCCCACATGCAGGACACCAACTTACTGCTAGAAAGTAAGAAAGTGAAGATGCTGAGATTCGCAGGCAAAGCTGTGAACCTCCACTGCCAGCCCAAGGCAGCCGGAGCATAAGCAGCACTGGGGTCTGCACTGCTTTCCTATAAGCCGTGGATGCTGTTTTCACCCTCTCCCCCGGCCAGGGGGGAAGAGAAGGGGGGAGGAAGCGGTTTTCACCACCTCCCACCGGCTGGGAGGGGGGTATGCTCTGTTTTCTTCACCACCACCACCCCTCACATCCCCCTGCCAATCCCAGTTGAGAGGGGGACAAGCTTGCCGGTAAAGTAGCTGCCTCTGTAAACTGGTCCAGAGTGTGAACTGCTGGAGCCGGAGCTGCATTTTATTCAGAAGAACTCAGGGATTCCTGAGGTGTCCGTAACTCTGAGGTTCTACTGTAATATCATTGTGCTTGTCTTTGAGAATCGCTGGTAATCTAGCCTATTCTTTAAATTAAATAGCCTTAGCTTTGCCACTGGATACCTAAATGACTAAAGAACTTTTTAATTCCTTACCTGCTTATATAATTTTCATATGTTGTATGATCAATTACATTTTTAATTGCATTGTCAAACAGAGATTTAACTTTAACATTGGAGTTTGTAACTTTAAAAAAATTATACTAGGCCTATTAAAGCTGGGATTCAGGAGAGGAAACAGACGTTTGAAGAATTCCTTGAAGAACAGATACGATTAGAAGACCAGCGCCTGAAGCAAAAAGAGGAGCAACAGGTTAATTATTATTAACACTACAGTTATTTATATACTTTCCCAAAATGTACTAGAAACTTTACAAACATGTGAGAAGACAGGTCCCTGCTCTGAAGAGCTTACAATTTTATATATGCAATATTCAAGTTCTTAAAAACAATTATTCTATTTTGTAAAGATTTTCACCTTCCTTAAAACTATAGTGGGACAGGTACTGTGTAACTTTACATATTAGTAAGCCTTACTTAGATAAGTCTGTAAATATATAATGGAAGTTTTAATGTTGTTTTGTTGTTTTTTAAGGAAGTGGGAAGGTCAACCTTTCAGAAACTACTGACAAGACGACCCTTTCTGAAACGGGGAGAAGGCTTAACTAGGTTCACTAATGCCAAATCTAAAGTAACTAAGTATAAAGAAAGCAAACTGATGACTCAGCAAAGTACTTTGGAGGACAGAAATGTTGTTAAAGTGGACAGACCACAAATACAGCGGAAAACTGCACCTTTAAGCAAGGAACAGGTTTCTGAAATTTTTGCTGTGCCCTCTAAAAAATGTAACCGAGCAGCTAAAACAACAAATGATTCTGTCTTCCCTGTTCAGAAGGCCATAGTACTCAAGAATCATATTGGAAAAAATATATCGCCACCAACAGCGAGACTGCAGACTGAGAAGAATCTTGGACAGTTCAGAGATTCTTTCAGATCAGAAATCAACAGCAAATTTGAAAATAAAGAAAACATAATGGAGTTTGCCAGGCCAACTGACAAATTTTCAGATACAGAAAAGCCTCAGCTGTCCACAGAATTTACCAAAACTTTTTCTCTTTCCAAATGTTCTACAAGTCACCCTGTAAAAGATCCAGAACTTTCTTTTGAACTTTCATTCCAAAATAAGTTGGAAAACTGGGAAAAAGAAAAGGAAAAAGAGAACATAGAATTAGATGAATTTTTGTTTCTAGAACAGGTTGCTGATGAAGTATCTTTCTCGAGTAATTCCTCATTTGTACAACTGTTCTTGGATCGAGATCAGCAAATTTCAAAAGGCCGTAGAATGTCTTCTACCCCTGTCAAAGCAATGCTGCAGCAGCAGCAGCAGCAGCAGCAGATGAATGCCCTAGATATTATAAATAACAAAAATAAAAAAGCAGAAATTATCTTACAAGGAAATAAAAATGACAGGGCAATTACACATACAGTCTTGGATTTGAGGGCATCTGTTAGACTAAGGGACCAATTCAATAAAACAGATAATAAAATATTTCAGACTTCTTCCACTGCAGCATCTCCAACTTTAAAAAGCACTGAATGGAATGTAAATGAAGATAAAGATGATGGAAGCAGTGTCATTACTACAAAGTCTGAGGAGGAACTTGAGACCACCTTAAAATGTGCAAATGAAGATGCTAAAAAGTTCATTTTGAGCATCAGAGAAGATAATCCAGTATTCTGTGATTGCACAGGACCTGTCAAAGACCTCAGCAAAGAAAGCAAAAGTAGGGATGTTGATCTTGACTTATCGGACAAAGATTATAGTAGTGATGAATCCAATTTGCTACCAAATCAGAGTAATAGCAAAGTGTCTGAATCTCAAAGACATGTTTCATGTACAAATAGGAATAAGGTTGAATTTGATGATGAAAGAACATGGACTGACCTTCAAGAAAATGAGATTCAACATGAAGCACCCCAAAATGATACCATTAAAGTACCTCCACAAACTGACTATTACAATAAAAGTGAAATGGCTGCCCCAGATAAAACAATAAAGAGGAAGGTTGCTTCAATAAAGAAGGGAGATGATTTGCCCAAACAGAGTGTGACAGATGGTGATGCAAGTACACCTCCCACATCAGACCTCATGATGAAACTCTTTCCTTCACTGAATCCTAAACAGAAGCCAGACTCTCATGCAAGGCATGAAACCAAATCAAATGTGGGACAAGAAGAAGCAGGAGGTAAGAGAATAATAAAACACACATACATCACTGTAGAATGAGCACTAGGTATTCTTAAAACATGCAATCAAAATAATGGAGAGGAATGAAAAAATTACTGGTGTTGTCTTGCAGTTTCTGTTAATTATCAGTCATGCGAATTTAGTGTGTGCTGTCATAAACTTGTACTGAACTGTTGCTATATCAGCAACGAGCAATAGCTAGAGCTGTGCAAATCTGCAGATATTTGTGACTCGTTTTTATGGCTTGGATGTAGATACAAATTTGGTATCTGTGCAGCGCTCTTGCAATAGTTTTAGAAAAAATGTTTGTGACCAGTGACATGATTTCAAAAAAATTTTTTTAACTAGATGCTCAGATCACTTTACTTGTAAATTTTTTTAATTGAAGTTACTGAAAGGGATTCATGCCAAATAGTAATATTTAGAGTCTGATTCTCCACTCATTGATACTGCTGCAAATCATGAATAGTGTCAATGAAATCTGGAATTAGTGTGTGTTTTTTAAAGAATATCAGGGTTGGAAGGGACCTCAGGAGATCATCTAGTCCAACTCCCTGCTCAAAGCAGGACCAAGCCCCAGACAGATTTTTGCCCCAGATCCCTAAATGGTCCCCTCAAGGATTGAACTTACAACCTTGGGTTTAGCAGGCCAATGCTCAAACCACTGAGCTATCCCTCCCCCCACTTGTCTTACTAGTGTAAGTAAGAGGAGAATCAGGCCCTTAGAACTTTGTTCTAGAGTGGGCTGTAATTTGAGATTTCTGGTTTGCAAGAAATTTTGCTACTTTTGAAATTTGGTTTTGTTCCAAATCAGAATAGAACCAAATTTTTCAAAATGTGTCGAACTGGAAATCCTGAATTTTTCTGGGAACACCAACACTTGGTATTTCCGAAACAAAATACGCTCCTTAGGTCTGGAAGCTGCTGACTGTAATTTGACACACTTTTCATTTTCATAACTGCTAATACCCTCAGAAGTCAGTCAGCTCTGGGGCTTCCGGGGTCTCCATCTCTCAGGGCTGGTCACTTGGGAATTGGGCAGCAGAGAGGCAGCTGGTCTGAGAGTCTGGAATCATTGGGGTCTCTGGCCGAGGTATGTCCATCCGGATGGGGTTGCCTAGGAGCCCTAAGCCCAGGTTTCCAGTTCTTTGAGATGCTGGCTCCACAACAGGGAGGCTGGAAGCCCTGGTGTGATAGGGCTGCTCTTCAACTGTGGACTGTGGGAACCTGGGTTCCATCAGAACCCTACTAGTGACTTGACAAAAGTTTGTTGAATCTGACCTGGTTTCACTAGACATTTTGGGTTCAACAAACTGGTGTTGTCTGACAAAACTCCGATTTGTTAGAAAATTTTCAACCAGCTCTCCCTAGTTCATAATTAACGCTACGCTTTAGTCACAGGTATTTTTAGTAAAAGTCACAGACGGGTCATGGGCAGTAAACAAAAATTCACGGCCCATGACCTGTCCATGACTTTTCCTAAAAATACCTGTGACTAAAACTTGGGGGGGGGGGGGCTGCCCAGGGGCCCTGGAGGTGTGGGGGGAGGACAGCCTGAGTGCTGGAGAGGGGGACAGGTGGCGGTTCATGGCTTGGGATCCCCGTTGGAGGGTGGACCCTCACTGGTGCTGGTGAGGGGGGCAGGCAGCAGCGCGTGGCCTGGGACCCCCGCAGGTGCTGGTGGATTGGCGAGGCTGGCAGGCTCCCTACGTGACTCCTCCCTCCCTACTCCCCCACCCACAAGCAGCAGAGTTTGGGTGGTGGGAGGGGGCAGAGTGGGCATGGGATGGGGTGAGGCAGGCCCTGGGCAGCGCTTACCTGGTGGGCTCCCTGGAAGTAGCGACATGCTCCTCACTCAGCTGCTAGGTGGAGGCGTGGCCAGGCAGCTCTGTGTGCTGCCTTCACCTGCAGGCACTGCCCGCACAGCTCCCATTGGTTGCTTCCTAACAATCTTCAGAGCACAATTCTTCTTCCTACTAGAGAGTCTTTAGGCTTGTAGCTACATTTCCTTTGATAGTTTTTCATCATCCTTTACAGCAACCTAATTTTAATAATTTAGATTTGCTGGTCAGTAGGATTCTTTTTAAGTACACAAGCTGATTGTTCTACTGCAAAAATATGTGAGGGAGCATTGTTTGTTGTTGTGGGTTTTGTTTTGTTTTTTTGAAGACCTGGACTTTGTCAATGGTTTAGTGGTAGCAAAATGCACTGCAGCCTGTATGTTAAGAGTTCAGATCCTGGGTTGTTCGGTTTCGTAGACTATTGGGCCTGGGAGGATGGACTCAGCACTACATCTGTGTATGTAGATGATTTAGAAACAACTTTTGTTACATTGTCAAATGTAATGCCACTTTTCCCCCCCCATTGTTGTCAATCTGTATTCACATCTGCCTTCTCTTAACTACCTGAATAAATTCAGCAATTCTAACAAACCTTTACTGGAAAAATACTTAGCAAAATTGATCTAGATACGTACTAAAATACAAAAAGCACATTGCTGATCATTTAATATCTGGCAAAATAATTTATACCATAAACAGGGTATGGATTCAGATTTGTCTTGTTATCCAGAAGCTGCTTGCTTGCTTTTTTAAATTAAAGTCTCTAGTGTTTTGGTTGAGAAGAAAATTTTAAAAAGTCACTGTGTAACCAATGCAGAGAGAACTGCCTCATTAATTTTAGGAAGGCGTTTATTCAGATGCCCAGTGACAATGATTTAAGCATCAATATTAACTGTTTCATTCCTCATGTAAGAAAGGAGATGAAGGATCATAGATCTCCACAAGAAACTTTGAGCACCATTTCACTTTGGTGCCCCAAGTGGAAAGTGGTTAGGAGATACCACCATTTAAAAAAACAAAAAACAAAAAACAAACTTCCAATCAAGAAGAGCCTAACCGAGCCCATGGGTGTTTTCGAGCCTTACTTATGTCTAGAAAGCTCACAGCAGCAAGACTCCCAGCCTGGATCAACAGACTTAAGCTTGTAGGGCTCATACTACTACTCTTTAAAAAAAAAAATAGCAGTGTAGACAGCTCTTCGAAGTAGCAGCTTGGGCTCTGAAGCCAAGGGAGGAAGGGGTAGGCTTCAGAGCCCGAGCTGCTATTTTGAAGAGCTGTCTATACAGCTATATATATCTCTATCTATATTTTTTAAGAGACCTAGAAAATGCCAGAGTCTGTCAACCCGGGCTGGGGGCTTGCTGCTCTTTGCTGGTAGATGTACCTACTGAGGTTGAGCCAAGCTCCCCGAACCCAGGGAGTATGAACAATCATTCTTTGAATATCTGCATACTATACTTGGAAGTTGATCTTATTTTGCTGACATGCATGGGCAGAGTTTGTTTTGTGGGCACAGCCTTGAAGAGCCTGACCACCTCCCTTCCATGCCCCCCACCCCGTATGAATCCTGATCATAACTTCAATGAGAATTATTCTATTTTGAAGACTAATTCAGATTTAAATTTGTATTCCTTGCATATCCTGTTGTGCCTGTACAACAAATATATTCAAAACCTGAGATGGTTGAACAAGAAGCACAGATTGCTTTGATAAGGACGGACTTATTTATCACCTACTGTATTATTTGGAGACTAGTTATTTATACCTCAGAGTAAGATCAACTGATGAAATCATTTATATCTGACAATTTAGTGTATACTTCAACACTCTCTGTATGAATGTCTCTTAACTTGGGTATACCTGTTCCCTGATAGGAGACATTGTTCGATCCCGGGTACTCAGAGAGAAGCTTGTTGAATTGGAAACAGAAATTGAAAGATTCAGAGCTGAAAATGCATCTCTAACAAAACTCCGTGAAGAACGAGAGAGCTCCTTAGAAAATCTCAGGTAATTTTTCAATGGAAGTATTTCACTGTATTTTATTTGCTTAGTAAATAGATCTCCTTAACTGTTTATTTAGAGCAGGGGTGGGCAAACTTTTTGGCCTGGGGGCCGCATAGGTTTTCGGAAATTGTATGGCGGGCCGGTTAGGGGAGGGGGTCGTGGCCCAGCCCCTATCCACTACCTCCAGGACTCCTGCCCCATCCACCTCTCCCCGCTCCCTGTCCCCTGACTGCCTCTGGAACCCCCGCTGCCCCATCCAACCCCTTCTCTCATTCCTGACTGCCCCCGTTCAACCCTCGTTCCCTGCCCTCTGACCGCCCCAACCCCTATCCACACGTCCCGACCCCCCCCCCCCGAACTCCCCCTGCCCTCTATGCAACCCCCCTGCTCCCTGCCCCCTTACCATGCTGCCTGGAGCACTGGTGGCTTTCGGCACTACAGCCGCGTCGCCTGGCTGGAGCCAGCCACGCTATTGCTACTGCGCAGCACAGAGCACTGAGTCAGGCTGGACTCTGCAGCTGCGCTGCCCCAGAAGCTCTCAACCCCGCCGCCCAGAGCATTGCGCCGGTGGCTGTGTGTATGGGGCGGGGAGGAACAGCACGGGAGGGACCGTGGGGTAGCCTCCCGGACCAGGAGCTCAGGAGGGTCCCGCGGGCTGTAGTTTGCCCACCTCTGAGTTAGAGCTATTAATAGATAGGCAAATGAGCAAATCTGCAGGTAAGCACAGCAGTCTTGGGTAGTAGTAAATATTACAGAGATCTGTTTCAAGGGTGGCCAAAGTTACTGATCCTTGGAGTCGCATATGATGATCTTCAGAAGTCTGAGTTCTGGGTGCACCTGCTCGGGGCTTCAGCCCTGCGGCAGGGTGGTGAGGTTTGGGGCTTCAGCCCCATGAGTGGCGCCTGCTAGTGTGTGGGGCTTCAGGAAGAAGGGGCTGAAGTTCTGAGCCCCAGCAGGCGCCTCCTGCAGGGCTGCAGCCCCTAGACTCCCTTCCCACTGGGCAGAAGCCCCGAGCTCCACCTGCCCCAAGTCTGGTAGGTGGAGAATGGAGGGGCTCTGCGAGCCACACTTTAACTGTAAGAGTCGCCTGTGGCTGGTGAGCCACAGTTTGGCCACCTCTGATATATTTAGTATATAGGTAAGTAATTGACATCTCTTAGAATATAATAGTGTAGATTTAGGTAAAAAAAAAGTTTGACACAATAGGTAGTTTAAATGTATAACATGCAATAAATAGCCTACACTGTGTAATTAATCACTCAAGCTGCTACTCTAGAAAATGGATCAAAACATGATTTAAAAAAGCTATACCCAACTTGTTCAGTATGAAAGCTCATATGGTTGGGAGATTTTTTTGTTTTATATACTTTGACTCATTTAAAACTATCTTTTAAAAAAAAAAAAGAAATAAGAGAGATTTTTCCAGAGCTTGATGCTTTTACCTGGTGTCTTGCTAAAATGTGAGACTAATGCTGTCTTTTTGATCAGATGTTTGTTCCTGGAAAAACCTTCCTGGGCACATGTAGGCTGGAAAAGGGGTAGAGTTAGGGACGGGGGAAGGAGAGGGAATAGCTTATGTTGGATGATAGCGATCCCTTTTGTCAATTAAGGAATGTTATTTGCAGTCTCTGAAAAAAGGTCCTGTCCAGTTGTCAGTCAAAGCAACAGTAAATATGGAGGGGATTCTTGCTAGTGGGAACTGCAGAGATGATTCTTAAGACTTCAGCAGTGGCAGTGAGGAGATCCTTCTGACTAAATATATATTGTGTGTAATTTATTTACAGTGGAAAGTCATTCTGGGAACAGGAGATACTATTTTGAATTACTGAGGAGTAAAATTCTAAATAAATACTCCAAACGTCGAAGTTGTTCTATTCCCGAACAATAAGCTACTTTGTGTAATTTCAGGAAAGAAATAGCAGACTTTGAACAGCAGAAAACAAAAGAATTGGCTCGGATAGAAGAAGTTAAAAAAGAAGAAATGAGAAAACTCCAAAAAGACCGTAAAGTTTTTGAAAAATATTCCACAGCAGCTAGAGCGATGCCAGATAAAAAGGAGCGTGATGAAATTCAGGTAAGAAAAATCTAAAGATCGTTCTGATCTTCAGAGTGAAATTTCAGCTTTTCACAGTTGTGCAATTTGGAATTCGTAGATTCTGTTAATTTGAAGGGGTTCGATAAGAGAGAATATATATTTTCTCAAACTAGATCAAGATACTTGGCATCCATCAGTAGTTCCCACATTGAAAATCATAGGCTTCACACAAGTATTGTTTTGCTTTAAAAAACAAAACAGAAAAACACTACTGAAGAACTGTTTACCTTCTGTCAGACTCCCATAACAAAAAAGGTTCAGAATGGCACTAACAAAGAACATGACAGCAGACCAATAAACCTAAATCAAGTTACAAAATATTACTGTAATAAATATGTTGCAAACAAATTCATTCACTGTAGTGAATTGAATGCAAAATTGAACCTGTATCAAGCATCATTCTGTCCATAATTGTTGCGTTCTAAGCACAGTTTTATCTCATAATAGATGTTGATTATAATGTGTCTGATGCATAAACATGTCTTCTCATTTCCATCATGTTTAATCCTATCGCTTTGAAAAAGATAAGACTTGTTAGTCACTACTAGGGTGAATAATGTAGTTTATTGTAATCTTGGTATCTCATAGATCTTTCCCTCTATCTCTTAGAATTTTGGATTTCCTTTTTAATATCTTACTATAGTTAGTGATTGAATTATCCATTATTATATGGTTAACTCAATCTAAGGTGGCAATTATTTAATTCAAATTACTTAATTTCTGATCTCCTGTGAGCTTGTTTGGGGAGAAAAAGAGGAATAGAAAATGTTTTTGGTATTTTTTGTTTTGTTTTTTAGGCTGCCCTAAAAATCCTTTCATTTGCTATTAAGTTTATAACTATACATGATGTGCTTCCTGGCCCATCATGCCCAATGGATTTTTTTCTATGCATATTTATATATATTCAGTGTTGATTTTTTGGCTTGAAATGTGAAACCAAATATAATCTACATGGCAGCATGACCCTTGTCAAACCGTCTAGCCAGACGTCTCTGTATAATAATGATACCTAATTATTATATAGCATGTTTCATCAGTAGATCTCAAAGTGCTTTACAAAGGTGGTATCGGTATCCTTATTTTACAGATGAGGAAACTTAAGTTGCCTTTTTTTTTTTTAAATTAAGAAAGACAAGAATACAATCTTGAACACTCTTAAGAAAAAATCCTTTTCCTTCCCTAGGATTTAGGGTGAGATTTTGTTACACTGCACACACAACTTGCAGCCCAGGGAGAAGGTGAGCTAAGTTGGCTTTTAAGCCTCCTTAGCACCTTCCCTATCTTGGGCTGCTCTGGAGGCTGGAGAGGCCACTCGCATAACTTGGGCTGCCCAGAACCTCTGTAGTGCTGCAGCTCCATCCTCAGTATGCCCCTGAGGACAGGTTTGTGAAGGATTCCAGTTCCTGTACCAGGGTAATCCTTCCTCTGCCAGAACAGGGGCTTTTAGAGCCCCTTTACACTGCTCTGGACCTTTTATCTGGTGTAAAGGGGCCTGAGCAGGGATGAAGCTTGCTGCCTGATTGCGAGAGAGATCAGGCAAGTTAATACAAAGTAACTCCTGTCTTTAGAAAACAACACACACTTCCTGCCCTTCACACAAAGATTATTTCACTTGTTTTGGGTCACTGTCTTCTGTGCTGTCACTGCTAATGAAAGATTACTATTTTCTCTAGTCTGTTTTAATACAGCAGAAAATGACTGGCTTGTATCCTCCTACAAACAGTTGATACTTATTTTTTCCTAAGGCTTTAAAACAGCAGCTTGCAGACTTGCAGGAAGACTTAAAGCGAAGAGAAGCAAAATGGTCAACTACTCACGGTCGCCTTAGAAACCAGATAGAAACCTTAACAAAGGAGAACACGGAGTTAAGGGAAGAGATCAAAATCATGGAAAGATTTCGTCTAGAAGTTTGGAAGAAAGCAGAAGCTGCTGAAAGCAACAGGAAAGCTGAAAGTTCTGGAATGAATTTGAAGAGAGCAGAGTCTATAGTAAGTTGTGCTTGTTTTGAGGTATTTTAAACTGATTTTTGCATATATAGAGTGAGTTTTGGCTCATTGATATATATATTTTTTTCAATTGGTACTCAGAGACCAGTTGGATGTTTCATTTAATTTAATGGAGGTGTATTGGTGTTGTAAGACAGTACACTGCTGTTGACTTCTACTGCCCCTATAATCCTGGATCTTCACTGTATGCAGGTACCATGCTCTCCAGGATTTTGCGCTCTCAAACTGGAATTATTTTGGAGTTCAATGGGGAAATCAGTTGCAACTGACTTTGGTGTCTTTGCACTCTAAAGATTAGCTAGTGAAACCAGCCAGTCTTCACTGAATGATTTCACAGTTAAACTAATGTAAGTTTTAGTAGTCTGAGTATACGTATCCCTGGTGAACTGCATGAAGGTCAAATTTTGGGATTGTGCATGGTGAGGAAGCAGAGGAAAGAGAAGCTCAGTCTGTCTTCTCTCCACAATATACTTTAAAAGTGTATAATTAAGTCATTGCAATAAAAATTATGGGCAAGTAGTCTGTGTTGATGAGTGCTATTGCACTGTAATAACATTGCTGAATAAATCATTCTTGAACTAAATAAATTCTTGATTATATATTTTCAGAGTCCACCAACTAGATTTCAAAAAAGCCAGTTTCTGTCTCCAGTTCCTCAAATAGAAAAGAGTAGCAAGATGAATGGGAAAGGTTATTCACCAGTAAAAGGTATAAACATTTATTCAAAAGGAGAATTGTATTAACTCTTTAAAAGAAAATTGCCAGTTTTAATGTTTGTTTGCAGCAACTGACAATTGGTAATCTCTCTATTTTCCTCAGGCAATCAATGTATTAAATAGTCCAAAAGTATAATGGATGTGAAAGTTTAATAGTCAGACTTAATGCTCTGATAAATAATAAATATTGTCATTGATAAGATTGTGGAGAAAGTTGTGGATACATCTCTCTCAGTATGTAGATGTGTCCCTGATCTCCTTCCCACTCTGGGTACAGAACTGGGTATGGCCCAGAGACTGCATTGGTCAATGATCTCCGGGCAATGGATGAAGATCAGGTATCTGTGCTAGTAGTGTGCTGCCGTGGATACCGTTTTGATCGCCAGGTAGTGTTCTCGTGCCTACAGACTCTAGTGGGAGTGCCCAGAGCTCTCAAAAATCGCAAAAGAGGTAGTTGAAAGCAATTTCTGAAGACCTCTAAAGTGGGGGATGTTGCAGGGTGCCATTCTGTTACCTCCTCCTGTTCAACATATATATGGGGCCATTAGGCGGGTTAGTAAGAAAGCATAAAGTGTGTTTTCAGTATGCTGATGACACCAAAATGTATATCTGTCATTTTCAACTCAGATGATGTGACTCAGACAGCTTCTAATTAAGATTGGGCCATGGATGACTGAGTTGGCTGCTCAATCCAGATCAGAATGAGGTGAAGGTAGAGGTGGTGGGGAAGCAGCTGGAGATAATTGGTCCCTTTGATTTGAGGGAGTACATCCACCATTGGTTACTAAGATTTGCATTTTAGGAATGGTGGTGTTGGTTTTTTTTAGATCCCAGCTGCTGTTTGACTCTCATTACAGCAGTAGAGCAGGTTTTTTTTGTTGTTTTTACATCTGCTTGTGGCTAGGAGGTTGCAATCTTTCAGATGTGACTCTTGCTGCTGTTTGCAGTTGTCTTAACAAAAGCATAGCTATGCACTCTACATGGGGTTACATCTTTAAAATCATTCAAAGAAATGAAGCTGGTACAGAACGGTGTGGCTCACTTTTTTGATTGAGGCATTTTGGTGGGAGCGTATGATGCTAGGATCTTCACTGGGTGTTTGTTGGTCTTTGGGTGCAGTTTAAAGTCTTGGCTTACGACCTATAAAGCCTTATCTGTCTTGAGACTGATGTACCTGAGAGATTGCCTTTCTTTTGGTCCCATGTTGCACAGCTACAGTCTGCAACAGTGCCTAAGCTGGACATCCCTCATAAGAGTGGGTACCGGGAAGTATCAGAGGGGTAGCCGTGTTAGTCTGAATCTGTAAAAAGCAACAGAGGGTCCTGTGGCACCTTTGAGACTAACAGAAGTACTGGGAGCATAAGCTTTCGTGGGTAAGAACCTCACTTCTTCAGATGTCTTGCATCTGAAGAAGAACCTCACTTCTTCAGATGCAAGACATCTGAAGAAGTGAGGTT